TTCGGTTTAATCGACATACTCTTTCGCTGCCATCTTCAAAACCTTCTGGCTGCTTCATATACACTTCCTCTTGGAGTTCACCGTATAAGAAGGCAGTCTTGACATCAAATTGATGGAGTTGAAGATTTTCAGTAGCTGCCACACTGAGAATTGTTCGTACTGTTTCATAACGAACAACAGGACTGAAGGTCTCGTCGTAGTCTATTCCAGACTTTTGCGAATAGCCCTTCACAACTAATCTTGCCTTGTAACGCTCTATGGATCCGTCAGATTTCGTTTTTTTAAAAACCCACTTGTTACTGATTGCTTTCTTGTCAGGCGGTAAATTCACAAGATGCCAGGTACTATTTTCATGCAATGAAGCTATTTCATCAGCCATAGCCAATTTCCATTTCTCTGCCTCTTCTGATGATATAGCTGAATTATATGAATCAGGAATATTATGCTCAACAATCAGAATAAAATCTTTCAAATGTTCGGGTATCCGGCATTTCCGTCTGCGGTTCCTCTTCAGATTGTCCAGCAGATTCACCTTCATGCATAGAAATTTTCTCTATTTGTTCAGAAATTTCCTCACGACTTGCTTCACCTGATATTGACATCTCTTCATCATTTCTATCTGTTTCCTCCATTCGTGCATGGCCAACACTCTTGACAGGAAGTTTAATCAACAGATCCACATTTTCTCCACTGCTTTCAGCACTCGTTCTTTCAGAAGGGGACTCGACAATCAAATTTGGCATTTTCCGTATAACTTCCTCATTATCGAAAACAACATCATGGCTCAAAACAACCTTGTTTTCTGTTGAGAACCACACCCTGTAACCATCTTTCTCATGACAGTACCCTACTAAATATCCAGGAGTACTCTTCTTGTCCCACTTCTTTCTACGTTGCTTTGGAACATGCACGTAGCACTTCGTACCGAAAACTCGCAGGTGGTCAATTCGAACTACTTCTTTATCGAACCAGAGTTCGAAAGGGGTTTTGTTCTTCACGGGAGTATTTCCTGTTCTATTCAAAATATACGCTGAAGTATTAACTGCTTCTGCCCACAACCGAACTGGCAAATTCTTAGCATGGATTAATGATCTGGCACTTTCAACCAATGTTCGATTCTCTCTTTCTGAGGTACCATGTTGTTCTGGCGTGTAAGGCATTGCAATTCGAAAATTAATGCCTTTCGATTGCAAAATAGAATGAACAATTTTGTTATCGAATTCCTTGCCTCCGTCACTCAAGAATTCTTTCACTATGTGACCAGCCACGTTGGTTTCTTCCAAAAATACTTTCAAAGATTCAGAAATTTCAGCTTTCGACTTCAAGAAAAATACTCGACGATACTTTGAAGTCATCCTTAAAAAACAAGAAATATTTAGCCCCTCCGAGTGATTCTTCCTGCATAGATCCGCAGACATCGGCATGAATCAGCTCTCCTGCTATCATAGGTCTATTCGGCCTTTGTCTGAAGCTAGCTCTTTGCTGCTTACCGAATATATAACCTTCGCAAAATTCCTCATGAGCTTCTACTTGAATATTATATTGCTTCAGGATTTCCATGACATGACGTTTGTTTTGGTGACACAATCGCTCATGCCAAAGTTGTAAAGTTTCCTCCTTTGACGCAACAAATACCTCGGCAATGGTTTCAGGTATATAAACTCGCATATTCAATTCATATAGCCCTTTTGAATTTCTTCTTCCAGTCAATTTGATAGTACCTCCTCTTGAAATCGTGCAACCATAACGACTAGCTTCGAAATTGAAACCTCTATCCATGGATTGGCCGATAGAGAATAAATTCCTGCTAATCTCTGGAACATACCACACACTATCTAAGTGGTTATGATACCATATTCCATTGACTTCCATTTCTACATTTATGATACCTTTTCCGTATGCATAAATTATCTTACTGTCGCCAACTTGAATTTCCTTTGGCATAGTAAATGATTCATAGGTCAGGAAATATTTTTTATGTTTTGTCATATGTGCTGAGGCACCCGTATCAGCAAGCCATACAACGGTATTGTTCTGATCGAAAATGCCAGAAATAAAAGCTTCACCATTCGATCCAGTTTGTTTCTTGGTATTTCTGGATGGTTTTAACACTTGCTGACTTGATTTTCGCTTTGGGCAGTCTCTTGCAAAATGACCAACCTCGTGACACTTGAAACACTTTCGTTCAGGCTTTTCACTCCCTTTTTCAACGAACTTCTTACCAGAGTTTGCAAGAAGTGCAGATGATTCATTGCATTTTGACGGTAGTCGCATTTCAATGAGTCGGAGCCGTTCTATCAATAGGTTAATAGTGCGGTCATTAACTGGTACTGATTCCCAAACGCTCTTGAACTCAAAATACTCAGCAGGTAATGTCGACATTATTCTGCTCATTAGCAATAAATCAGGCAACTCGGTCTTTGCCAATCTCTTCAATTCATCGTTGAGTTTGTGAAAATTTCGTTGATATCGCCCTATATGCGTGGCAATATCTGTATTTTCTCGCTGCTGAAAAACTGCTCCATCAGCCTATCTACTCGCTGACCAGAACTTTGCTCGTACACTGATAACAGTTTATCCCATATTTCCTTGGAAGTACTTGCTGTAGCAGTAAGTTCAATATTCGCATTGTTCATACAACTAACTAGAATGAGTTGAGCTAAGGCATCAGCTTTTTTAAAAGTTTCGATTCTTGCTTCATGCTCTTTGCGGGTTTCAGCACTTACTTCTTCTCCCAAAACATTATGTGTGAAAACTCCGGTTATCAAATCATGTACATCATGGTGCAACAACAGCAATTCAACTTGTCGTCTCCACTTTGTCCAATTGGAAGCACCCTCCAATTTTTCGATTTGGGTTTTGAAATCCATTCCTTACTGACAATCGGTTACGTACTGTTTCACAATTTTCAGTTATTGGCGATCTGGGCCCATAACCTGATAAAGCTACTCCTTGTATACAGTACAAACTACAACCGTGGACTTCGTAAAGATGTATCGTGGCTTTATTATATGAAGAATTACAAGCACAAAGTAAAGACGTTTACATGAATTATCAAAACAGTCACTCTGACATTTTTCATTTTCGACTGAACTACAAGGTGATTTTTCTTTATATTCAACAAAAACTACACATTTAACATCAAACAAGTGAATTATAAGGACACAAAATGATAGTTTAAAAACTCATCAAACGAATAAAATGCTTTTTTCAGTAAAAATTTCTTGAGATTTCCTATGAATTTTGAACCTTCCATTTGTTCAAATTTGTCAGGTAAAACATTAAAAAAACGTACAGCAAGGCACCTAGGGCCATCTTGACACGTTTCTAGTCTACAGAATTTGGGTTTCAAGTTTTTTTTGTTTCTTGTATCATGGTCATGATTATCCTGGTGAGTCTCTTGTAGATGAAGGTTTTTTTTAACATAGCTTAGACATTCAAGAATGAAAACACATGGGAATGTCAAAATGTCTAGATCTCTAAATGCTTGCCTACAGTCATCACGATAGGGTAAACCTGCAACAACTCTAACTGCCCGTCGTTGAATTTTGAAAACCTCAACAGCACTCGCAGCATGTCCCCATACCAATATCGCATAAGAAATGTGGCTATGACAGAGAGAAAAATAGCACTGTCTTACAACCATTCTGTCTACACACTGAGAAAGATTTCTTAGAACAAAAATGTTTGTCACAAAGAGAGAAACTCAAAGTCATTACCACAACTAGTTCATAAAATGAACGACAATGGTAGATAACGAGAGAAAAACAACTACTTTCCTGGCAATATGCCACGCAGAACATTGCATTACATCCTCCCGAAACCTATGCGATAGTTCGTATAAACGAATAAAATCGCGAGTGTTTCCTTCCTAAACGCTGAGCTGCGCTTCAGTGGTTCAGGAACGCTAATAACGCGTAATAATCTGACAGATTGCCCATACTGCTTAGAATTATGCTACTTCAATAGCTCGCAACACAACATGAGAAATAGACAACTTTACCAGTACTATATGATAAATTGTATGTTATAATGTGCCACTCTATTATTGGGCAGTGAAACACCTGCCTGTTGGGTGGCCTCAAATTTATAAATAAATAAATAAATAAATAAATAAATAAATAAATAAATAAATAAATAAATAAATAAATAAATAAATAAATAAATAAATAAATAAATAAATAAATAAATAAATAAATAAATAAATAAATGAATAAATAAATAAATAAATAAATAAATAAATAAATAAATAAATAAATAAATAAATAAATAAATAAATAAATAAATAAATAAATAAATAAATAAATAAATAAATAAATAAATAAATAAATGAATAAATAAATAAATAAATAAATAAATAAATAAATAAACTCCCAGAAATCCCACAGTAGGTGGAATCCCACAGTCAGGTAATTCCCGTCAAGTGAATAAATTATTGAGTGTTTTAGTCTTGTTTAAGAAGAGGAAGTTGGCCGAGAACCAATTTTCGGCATTTGACTGTGCTTTTTTTGAAACCTCTAATACCTCATCATAGGATTTTGAAGTATAGCTATAGAGATATGATTTCAGGATAGTAATGCTATTTTGATGGAAATTATATCGTTCAAGTTTCTCTAGGAGTAAATAATGGGAGACACAGTCAAATGCTTTGCTGAGACCACAAAACGTGGTTGCAACAAACTCCCAATTTTCAAAGGCTTCTTGAATGTTAGAAACAAAGTCTAAAATAGCCGAGGTAGTGCTACGGTTTTTTTTGAACCCAACCAAACTTAAGGTCCGAAAAGATTCCATAACATTCAAAGAATTGAACCATTCTCAATGCCATAACCTTTTCTATAATTTTTGAGAAAAGAAGTACGTACAAAACGTACAACTCTTGATCCACCCTGTATTTGGAAACAAAAAAGATATCAGAACAAACCAACCCTTTTGCAGAAGTGTGTTCATTTAAGGAGGTTTTGAATTCTCGAATGTATGTATGTATGAAATAAATAAATGGGTTAAAATTCATCTGCTAGGCCACTCACTTGTTCTGCAGCACTCGGTAACTTATCCAGAATTGCTTGAGCTGCTTTATTGTTTCTGAAAGTTAACGCAGCCGCAAATGGACTCAGCCCAAATTTATCTCTCAAACTCAAATCGATTTCTGGAACACTGAGTAGCAATGTGATTATTTCATCATGTTGATTTTCAATGGCAATATGAAGAGGAGTTTTGTTTTCAGAATCTCTGATATTAATATTCGCTCGATGTTCCACCAACGTCTACAATGGAAAACAATATTGTTTTTGCACCTTTTGTATAAAGTGAACTGAAATTGTAGACCTACCCTTGCAACTGGTTCTAACCCCCACTGACAACAAAGATGCAATGGTGATTTTTTATCACGTGCTTCTTCGCCTCCTTTGCCATTTGGACTAGCCATTCTAGGGGAATTCAAATCACAGCCTGCTTGAATGAGAAAGATGGCTGCTGCTTCTTTGTTTTCGTCAATGGCCCTGAAAGAAATATACAATACATTGTAGCACGGTTGATTTAGGGTGTTTGGTTCACCGATGTATATCAGAATGAAGGTGGAAGGTAATGCGATTTTAAGCACATTCAACCATCTTTGGAAGAAGTACATGGTAACTCAAAGTGGAGTGGTGTAGTTCATAAATGTAATTCAGAGATGACTTTGGGTTTTTCATCTATGAGATATTCAACCATATACAGGGCTTTAATTTTAAGACTTGCCACCCTGTATAGGTATCTTCTGATCTGTAGTGATCACAATTTTCAGGAGAAATAGGTCGATTTAGATATCGATTGAATGTTATGTTCATCCCTTTCCCTCCCTACTTTGAAACTCTAAATAGCAACCCCTACCTCAGTCTAACAATAACCAAATCAACCCGGTAAAAGAAACTAGTTTGTCTATACATATCAAAGATACACGTCGCTGTATACTATTATACAAAGTGTTACACTTTTCCAGAAATCTACGCTTTTACATTCGAAGTTGGATGTTACAGTAAATCGTTTTTTTATTCTAACGAGCCAAAACATGTTTTTATCACAATTAGATCCAATGAAATTCGGTGAAACTCGAAAAAACGGTGATATCAGCTGGAAATGCGTTTGCACTTTGAGTTATTTAACATACAAAAAAATTTGAGAAATTGTGAAATTTTTTGAACCAAAAACTTTCCAAAATGGTGAGAGCAAATCATCCTTATGTCAAACAATCTACTAAAAACCACCCCTTACTTTGATTTTTCAAATTGCACCTCATGTTTTTTTTTTCGGTTTATCTTATAGAACTTATAATTCTCAATCTGACTATACATCGCGATGTAGTCAAAATTATGAAGAAGTAATAGTTATTTATTATATAAGGAAAAAAATTGTAGATTTTAGCTCCCGACACGTAGCAAAGGGAGACAAAAAACTGTGAGCTAAAGTCTAATATTTTCCCGTGAATAATTGTTTTTTTCTGTGACAGGAAGAAGGTCAAATCAATATTGAGAAGATATTACATTACATTAAAATCAGAAAATTATTATCGACGTGAAATTTGAAGTTTTCAACAGGAATGACACCTGTGCTGCAGGCATCTTTATCATTATTTTTAAGTAATCAAATATCTGCAAGTCTTATTCTGTGATTTGATTTTAAAAAATTGCGAATTTAGTGCTTGTTTGGTAATTTACGTAACCGCGAAGTCGAATGGAAGATGAAAGGACTTGCAGTTCTTTCTCGGAGACGGTGTTCGTTTGTGTTTGCTCTACCTGCTAAACTTGATTTTTTTCTATGACTCTCTCTATTTACATCATGCCATGAACAGAGACAACTATGGAAACAAAATCAACTTTAGCAAGTTTAGCCACACAAACGAACAGACCTTATATGTGGTATATATCCTGGAAAAGAAGTAGTCACTTTTTTCCCGTGGTAAAAAAGTAATTCATGAAAAGTGACATTTTATAGCCTGTCAACAGAGATGAAATTTCAAACTTTTTTCCCGCCACGGGAAAATGATTTTTTCTCAGAATGACATTGAAAGTGGCTTTTTAATGACACTTAACAGGCATAAAAGGTGTACTTTTACTGCCTAGGCAGGCTTGTTATACTGTTACACTCAGTTATTCCTAGAAAAATCAGAGCTACACACGAAGTCTGAATAGGCGATATAAGGCAAGTGTAGCAGGTGATAACAGTCATTTCAAACAAACATGGAAAAATAATTTTTTCGTAAAAATTATTGAAATTATATAAAATTTTCGAAGATGAAATTCTTGCTAAATATCTAGTCCGATATATCACTGAATTGAGAATAAAAAGGTCTATACGATGAACCGAAAAAAAAACGTGGGTGGAATCTGAAACACAAAATGCCTTGACATTTTTTTGTATGTTAGATAACCCCGATATCTGCTCGCCTAAAAGCTCTGGGACACCCGTATATTGAAACATGTTCAAAATGTTCTTACCTATCACCCCCTTTCAGATTTACGTCGGTGAACCAAACACGATGTATGTTTCATGAAATATCTAAAGATGTTTGTTTAAAAACAACCATGAGAAAACCTAACGGAATTGACGAGAACTGTCCGAAACGAGTATAAAAAAGCTGATACAAACTATATTATGTCACATCGACAGCTTTCACGTGAATTGTATAATAGTTATCTATACACCAAGGAAGTAAAGAATATCATTATTACTCAGGGACCAAGATTATATCCCGAGGCTTCAGCCGAGGGGTGTGAGGTTCCATGGTATACAGTGTGTCCCACTTACCATGCTCACCATGGGTATCTTTTTAACGGTGAGAGATACGAGGTCGGTTATGACACCAAATGTGGAGTTTGTCAAGGCCAACTATAATGTGAAAAAATATTTTGATAAAATCTATTCGTTTTTGTTTTATACGCAAAAAACAGATTTTGATCATTTTCATGTCTCCTCCGTAACTTCTTTATTCATGAAAATATTCGAATAGGAATTTCACATTCTCATGGCAGTTTTTCAAAGTGATTTCGAAAAAAATATGAAATTTATACCAACTCTTCTAGAATTTGAGATATCAGCACCAACTTTAGTTTTTCAAATGTAGGTCATAGCTCACTATGACTTAGTCACAAATAACTTTTTTTTCTCATACAGATGATATGTCGCAGTAATAGTTTTGTGTTGATAAAAACGGAGTTATCGTCATTTATACAAAAACAAAAAATCATTCGGAAGCCGCCGTCTTAAATTTATGAATTTTAACGAAAAAATCATGATCTCCGACCTCAAAAACCCCCACTTACCAATTTTGAATGGAATCGAACCAAATCTTTTCAGCCATCTTGGAGCAGCCATTTTTTTTAATTTCAACAAAAATTCCATAACCCCGATTAACTTGAAATTTGGCAGGTGTTCATAATTTCGGTGACAATACATTATGGAATTTTTGTTGAAATAAAAAAAAAATGGCTGGCGAAGATCATGATTTTTTCGTTAAAATTCATAAATTCATGATGGCGGCTTCCGAATGATTTTTTGTTTTTGTATAAATGACGATAACTCCGTTGTTATCAACACAAAACTATTACTGCAACATATCATCTGTAAGAGAAAAAAAATATATTTGTAACTAAGTCATAGTGAGCTATGACCTACATTTGAAAAACTAAAGTTGGTGCTGATTTCTCAAATTCTAGAAGAGTTGGTATAAATTTCATATTTTTTTCGAAATCACTTTGAAAAACTGCCATGAGAATGTGAAATACCTGCCTATTCGAATATTTTCATAAATAAAGAAGTTACGGAGGAGACATGAAAATGATCAAAATCTGTTTTTTGCGTATAAAACAAAAACGAATAGATTTTATCAAAATATTTTTTCACATTATAGTTGGCCTTGACAAACTCCACATTTGGTGTCATTTAACCGACCTCGTGTCTTTCACCGTTAAAAAGATACTCATGGTGAGCATGGTAAGTGGGACACACTGTATGTGATGTATATTACATTTTTTTCACCATTAGCAATATATTTCAATCATAATAGTTCTGTGAAACTGAAATGTGGACCTATGTCACTATGAAGACACTTTTTTCAATTCGAATTAAAATCTAGTCACCATCATGACAGCATATGACAAGTCCTTATTAATAAATACCTACTAGATTCGAGTGTCATTCCTGTCATTATCGCATCAGAACAGTGAATTTGGGTTAATTACAACAGAGGTGGATATGTCTTTATTGACTAGTGGTTCATAAAATGACGAAAACTACCTTGGTAGTAAAAACACACTTTACGCCTTCAATAGGAGTGAATAATGGTAGGTTCTATAGCTAGTGGTGAAAAATAAGTATATCTTACCTATGCAATAACGTCTGACGACAGTCATCGGGTCCGGGTCCCCAACAGTCTGTATCTGCACCATGACGTACCAATATACTTGCTATTTCTTCTTGATCAGAATCTAAAGCTGCCCATAAAGCACAATTTCCAAGTCTATCTGGAGCCGACATGTCGACTCCTCTTGTACAAAGAGCATCAACAACATTAGCTAAATGACAGTGTATGGCAAGCTGCAGAGGAGTTTCATAGTCAGTAGTTCTGAAAATAGTTTCAAGCAGTTCTTTATTCTTTACTTTTCCATAATGTGAGATGCATACTTTGCATTTATATCGACACCATGGTTCAACAAAAATATGGCGGTTTTGGAGTCTTCATTTAGTATCGCCTGATGTAATAAAGTGAAGTCTTTACCATTTCTGATATTCACATCAGCTTTTCCCTGAAATAAAAATTATCGAAATAAGAATATTTATTACGAATTGGTTTCGATTATTGTGTGGATATCAGCAAAAAAGTAAGTGAATATTTCAACCTCGGTTATAATAAAATGGTTGCTAAACTACTATCCTAGTTACACAGATATACCAGTTGATTGACAAAAACGCGCCCAAAGCAATAATAACGAGCAAACGAAATTACTCAGGAAACACTACTAGGAGGCACTGGTTCTATTTTCAAGAGTGTATTGAGAAAAAATAAAAATTAAGTTAGTTTCATTCGTTCGTATTCACGCACAATTTTGTTGTTTCAATAAAATATTTTCTACTAGTTCTGTGAAATAATTATATTATCACGCGATGTACGTAACTCATCTGGAAACGCCCTATATACAATTCGGTCTTATTAAGTACAACTATTCCTTAATTCTGTATGCAAAATCAACTTTTATAACTTCACCATCATAAATTTATCGTTGTGTTGTAATTGTTAGTTGACAATGTTCATCCATAATTTTATTTAAATTCTATTCACTAAAATTATTCTCTCTGTATATCTCTGCTTTCGCGAACCCGAGATTTCAATGTTAAGGTCTACTCGAGCGCCACCTGAACTTTTGGGTATAACAAGTGAAAAATACAGACGATTTTTGACCTCGACAACTACCGGATCTTCGCTTAGTTGTTGTCAAATCAATGAATTTGACTGTCTTGTTTCCCATTGATCTTGATCTATTCGAATCGACTTTAATCTCATCAATGAACTTTGATCTCACATCTCAGTGATTTTCCACAACTTTGAATGAGTGTTTTTGCGCGTACTTTAGTGAGGTGTATAACTGGACAATTGGGGGCGTTCTACCGAACTATTATACTGTGCTTCTGCCTTACAGCAGGCCGGCTGCAATTACGTCGTTGGAAGAAAACTGGGAAGCAGTTTGGTTACAACATATACACCGGAAGAAAAGGAAACTCGGTAAGAACATCTAACTCCCATGAAAATCTTACACAACAAATACAGTCCATTAAAAGTCAAGTGAATCTATTTCCGTTTACAGCGAAAAAGGGACATTCACAAAGAAATATATTGAGGATATTCAGAAGGCATTCTCTTCGGAACTGAAATGACAATATCAACTTGCATTTGCAACATGCAAACAACATCGCAAAAATAATAGGGCTAAACTTGGCCACCACAGCATTTTGGCAAACATACTGTATCACGTGGCCTCTTGTGGCCCAGAAGGATGCGAACTCTATTTTTTTAATTAGTCTCTGTTTTGGCGGAGTCAAATATAAATCAATCTCATCAACCCACATAATCTCTTGAAATTTGCATCAATAGAAAATGTTAACCATTTTAATTTGAATAAATAATGTAAATGAGACTCAAAACTTAAATAATATCATGAAACTACCGATAAAACTATCATAAGAGAAGTCCTCATGTACAAATTTCGTGCTAAAATATGTGGCACTTTCAACTTATGTTTCGATACACTATTCTAATACTAACCTCAATCAAAACTGGAACCAAATGATTATAACCTTTATTCAAGGCTAAACTTATAGCAGTATCCCCATTGATATCTCGTAGGTTGAAGTTACATGGAACTCTTGGTTCAGATGTATCTACAAAACACAAATTCAACTGGGTTAGACGATTGCAGGCTACCATAAAATGATTTGAAAATGAAGTAACATACAACATAACATGTAACTACATCTGTTCTGTCCTATGTAATTAATATCTCACACATCCTTATTGGATCGGGGATATTTTATTTCATCTGCAGGACAGTTAAAGTTCCTGTTTGAACGAGCTGACTATCGTCTAACATATCTGATTTTATGACAGTAAGATTTTTTACCAGTAGCAAAGTCAAACTGTTAAAGGTTAAACATTGAAACACAACCTCACTTTTCTTATTTGTTTACAATAGATTGAAATATTTTTTCACAACTATTCTGGCATACGAATCGTGTTTTTCGGCTATTCATTGATTCAAGCATGCCATCACATTGTGCTGTTGTACAATGCATAAAAAATGCAGCGAGAGACGAAGAATTCCTATTTCTCAGGTACATTGTGATCTAAAAGTACTATTGTCACACATATAGTTTTCATTTTGAAATGTTGTCATTTCTCATTGGAATTCTAAAATAGGGCAAGAAGATTGGATTCATGCAATCGAACGGGAGGACTGGTCTGACATGCAGACGAAATATGATCGTGTGTGTTGTAGACATTTTCCCTTTATTAGCAGTATTAGCTTCTATTGCAGAAGTTGCAGAAGGGAATTCTATAGATACTTTCACGGGAAATAGCAATACCAGTCAGAAGAAACCCTACCTTCCCAACCTGGAGGATTAGAATTACTTTGACTTTGCAAGTGGGTACTGACTCATGTATACCCTTCATATTACAGCATATTAGAATATGAGCGATTACATAACTATTGCACACTACACATTTTTGCCACTAAACAATCCAATGTTTTAACGCCTCAACACGTGTTTTGTTAACTATGCTAGCATCTTCAGGAGAAGATTAAAATTAAACATCTGATTCGTCTGTCATGGTTGGGTTCACATGTTAATCCTAATCTCAAATCACTTAACAATACAGAGGGCTATATGGAATACGTACATTATCCTCATTCATAACTCTAGAATATTTTAAGGCTCTCATATGCACCTGATTTTTTAACTGTATTAATCAGTTTAACTGATTTGATAATATCAATATGAGTGTGAGATGATTGTGATTATAACATAGTTAGCGAAACATGTGTAAAGGCGTTGAACACAGTGTAATGTGATCATCGTGGCAAAGGTTCCATTCTTCGATATGAATGACTATACAGGATGTTACAAATTCGTGGCTAAGCATGGGGATCTCGGTAACCTCAATAATTCTTCAGGCAATGAAATCCAGAGCTTTACCGTTCTAAACAGAAACAAGTTTTGATATAGTCCTGTTCGACATATTTCGAGGTTGACAATGAAAGGATGTGCTGACTGTGCTTGTCGAGTTCGCCTGGCTGGTATTGCTGGTCGTGAAATGATAGCAGAGATTTCTGAAGAACATTTCCCGTGGAAGTACCTACATAAAAGTGGAAGGTCACCGACCTTCCTACGGTGTTCCAGTGATATCAAAGTGTAGCATCACCCACCAGGCAAATGGCTCTTCTCTGGATGGAATCTAATAGCATCAGAGTACGTTTAGGACATCAGAGTTTCTTTACTTCAGTGAAAAAAATTGTTTGAAGAATGTATAGATACTCATTTTTGTGTAACACAGCGTGTATTGATTTGTCTTTGCCTAACACATTCTTCAGTGCAAAGTACCTCCTACATAATTGAATTGCTCTTATTCAAAATGTATTGTTTGTTATACCAAACTATAAATGGAATGAAATAATTTTAATTTTTTCAAATACAAAGCAGCATTTTGTTAATCATGAAATGGTGCAACTTTGCCCTAATTTGATCTACTCTGTATCTCTTTAGGTTACCGAGATCCCCATGCTTAGCCACGAATTTTAAACACCCTGTATAATGCAGTTTTTGTCATTTATATGCCTCCGACCACAGCACCGAACTGCCCGTTGAAATGTCCGACCCTAATAAATATTTATATGTCATTCAAAGATTCAGTTTATCTTGCACTTTAGATACTTAATATCAAAACGATTTCTCCCTACTAGCGACGACCTCAGTGGTTGTTTTCTTTTTATTACTGGTGAGTATTAAAATTATCACTCCTTCTAGTTAGAAATGCCAACTTTTTCCAAAGTAGATGTTTTTTGCCTTTATTTATCATGTGTATTTGGGGGAGTGGAAGAATTCAACCCAGTGATTTCCATGTGCGACGTCACTCATTTGTTGAGAGCTGTCAACGACTTTTAATCACAGCACAAACTATTCATAAGAAGATTAAAGGTAAAAAAATATCATATCAGAAAATATGTGATAGTAGTGAAAACACTAATATACATATACTGCGGTACAGAAGACAACTCTCACCTCACTTCCTTATTTGCCTTGATGCTAAAGCATCTCGGGAACTAATACAGCTGGGCTCAAAAAATGTCTTCCGTACCTTGGTATATAAATACTATTAAAATATCCGAATTTTCATGTATAGAAGTCAATTCATACATACCTGATCCTTCAATATATTCATTGAATTCTATGAAAACTTTTATACAGTCTTCAGAATTTGATTCAACAGCATAATGAAGAGGAGATTGTCTCGATTCGTTCGTCAGGAGATTGCAATTTGCTCCCAGTTTCGCCAGATGAAGGACTAGTTTGGAAAAATTCTTTGAGCATGCTATGTGGAGAGCAGTTTCACCTTAAAAATAGTTGAGAATTAATATGTATGGATAGAGAACTGTCAATTCTGAATATCTAAATGTATAAACAACTTTCGATTTAACAAACAAGTAACAAGTTTGGAGATTTTTTTCAGCAACATATTTTTCTTGTTCTCCTTTAATAAAACCAACAACTTTTCCAGTTGTGAATCAGAAAGTATCGAATGTAATCCAGAAACTACAAAACATCACTATGTATTCTCCTATAGTCTTCTTCGTTTGACTCGACACCCCTCAATGTTGAATTCAACCAAGACAATATGGTCGTTCCATAAATTGGAGGTCCGGGTATTGGAGGAGGACAACAGCTTGTGTATCTTAAGCAGAATATGGACGAGGACAACCAAGTAGAATTAAACGCCACCAGAATTCAGTATGCCTGATACAACAATGTCTGGTAGCATTATTCTCACGAAGTCCACTATATCTATGCTCGGTATTTCCATCAGTAATATTCTCCCATAGGAAAATAATGACAGATCCATTGCGAAATCTGCTTCTCAAAATCTCGGACTTATATTCCGAGCAAAAAGCTACTTTACACCTCAACAGCTTCTTATGATCTACAAGGCACAGATCCGGCCCATTTGGTAACACACTAGTTCGGCAAGCTCAGAAGATGAAATTTGAGTTGATTATCTGAGAGGGACTGAAATAGCATTGAGCAGTCGAGACTACGTCGATACTAGGGCTGCTCGATATTGGATTTCAGTTATCGGTTATCGATAAGTTCAAATTTATCGATAAGTTCGATATATCGATATTTATCGATATTTATCGATAATTATCGATAATTATCGATAATTATCGATATTTATCGATATATCGATATTTATCGATTTATCGATAGTTATCGATATATCGAGATATCGATATTTAAAAACTTGAATATCGTTATTCGATATATCGATATATCGATATATTTATCGATATATCGATATTTTTTCCCAGCCCTAGACTATATAGTTATTCAATACCGAAAAGTGGAAAAAAAAATATTTCACCATATTATTCAATGCAGCGCTTCAAATTAATTATGAATTCTTACACGAATTACTTTAATAACTCAATTATGGCAATACCAACAGAAACATTCATAACAATTGTTCAAAATGATGACCATTATTCTCCAAATAAAAATATCCTCTTCTCACAGTTGCTTCTAAGACATTACTGAGCAACCTTATCTTGGACACACTGTATATCGATATATCGATAAATATGGATATATCGATAAATATCGATATTTATCGATATTTATCTATATTTATAGATATTTATCGATAATTATCGATTTATATCGATATATCGATATTTATCGATAATTATCGATATTTATCGATTTATCGATAGTTATCGATATATCGATATTTAAAAACTTAAATATCGTTATTCGATATATCGATATATTTATCGATATATCGATATTTTTTCCCAGCCCTAGTCGATACCACTGAGTAGTGCGTTTCAGATTGTTCTCGAACATTCCAACTATTCTAGGGTGTACTGGTTTATACGTGGTGTATTCCCGAACACCCGATAACGCTGCAGTGTATCTCGATTGTTCTATCAAATCGGTCAGAGACTCGGTCAAAGAGAGAGGAGGAGAGGATATGAAAATGATAGAATATTATAGAAACTAGAGTCACTGGATGGTATTAGTTAGATAAGAGTTCGGACACAGAAATTTCAACTGTTTGTGTTTTTGAATGTTTAGATTTATTAAGTTATACACCTTGCATTGTGACAAGAGCACGCGCTTTTTCATTAAAAATTGTTTGAATTTGACAAATTTTATAAACGACAGAATTTAAATATAATTTCATAAACTATTGAGAAAAAACATTAATGGAAATGTCCTGCCGTGTCATGAATTGTGGGGATTCTGAAGAGAACGATAATAATAATAATAATAAACACTTTTATTGGTAGAAACAAGAATAAATATACAAAATAGTTACAAAAATATGTGCAATTGTACCAAAGGGCAGAGTTAGCTTTTGTCTGATCCCTAAGGAAACAGACAAGTGCTTTCTTCCACTCAACCTTAAATATAAATAATAATAGGAAATAACAAAAATTAAAGAAAAAAAAAAAGAGAGAAACAAAATACAAGACAATTCATTAAACTTATATCTAGTAAAAAATTTTAGCTCTCTATATAGCAACAGGCAATATTAACACGTGATCAGGAAGTGATTTTGGACTTGTTACAACTGCAATTCACAAGTTGAAAGCAGTTTTTTCATACGACTTTTGAAACCCAGGATATTACTTTCCTTCAGAGCTTCCGGAATCCAGTTGTACAGCTTTGAAATCGAGTAAGAAAATGATGATCGATATTGACTAGTGGTGTGAATAGGTGGAGTTAGTCGAGATTTAAAACGGACATTGATATTATGGATATCAGTGCGAAAGGTGATCTTCCGGAAAAGATATGGTGGTTTCTGAGTCGTTACTACCTTATGAAATAGAGTACAGGCATGCAGAATCCTCCTCCTCTCAATATTCAGCCAACCTAGATCACTAAGTGGACTGGATATGTGATCTCTCCTGCCTAGCCCACAAATTAGACGAACGCAAGGATTCTGAACAAGTTGTAGGCGTTGCGCATCTCTCTTTGAAATAGCAGGTCCATAAATGATGTCACCATAATTGAGATGAGAAAGAACTAAGGATTCACATAAGGTTATTTTACTCCGCTTATCGAGAATTTTCCTGTTGGAATAAATCAATTTCAGGTTGCAGAACGCCCGTCTAATTATCGAATTGATGTGTTTGTTGAAATTCAAATTGGAGTCAAGGATAATTCCTAAGTTTTTGGCACTCTCCACAGGAGAAATTGACATATCCCTAATTGTGAAATTCAAAGCATCCACACAACGAGTACGGGCCACTTTCCTACCAAACAGCATTGCCACAGATTTTCCAGGATTTATAGATAGACAAAATTTTTCAGATATCGATACAATTGATTCTAGGTCAGAGTTTAATCTGGTTTTAGCTTCCAAAAGGTCAGTTCAGGAAATGACAAATAAATCTGCGTGTCATCGGCATAAAAGTGACACTTGATGAACTTTATATAATCATGAAATTCATGTGTATAAATGATGGATAGTAAAGGGCCCAAAATCGAGCCCTGTGGAACGCCGTTCTCCACTGCCAAAAACTCAGTCATGTCCTTATCCACCAATACCGCTTGCAATCTATCAGTTAGATATGATTCTAGTAATGACACTGCACCTGCAGAAAATCCAATGGAATGTAGAATTGCTAATAAGAGCTGATGTTTTAAGAGTACATACCTTAAAGTTCCCTTCTTATAAGAGCAGATTAGAATGACATTATATTTTAGGCCCTTTTTCAAAGAGATGATTTTAAGAGATTCTGATGTTCCATTAATTTACAAAACAGACATTAAAAAAATCCAATATCATCATCACACGGAATACATAACGAAATTATCATTGAGGAAGAGAATTGATTGCAAAACTACGTCATGAAATTGAAAATTTGAGAACGAAACTGAAGAAATCAAGTAAATTGCAATGTGGTATTTCATTGAATGATGTTTTCAATACCAGTGAAAAGTGAATGCAGCAAAAGGTGGAAAATCAAAACAATTCTCATGTTTTAAACTTTATCACCCCAGTACAGTTTTACATAAAATAAGGAACGTGTAAACGAATGCCACCTTTTGTGTAGTATATTTATATTATATTTATATGATGTAAGATATTTACACAATAAATGTTTTTCTATTCTATTCTATTTTTCTATAACTAGCTATAAGTACATCTATATGTGTCTATTTTGTCATATTAAAATGTTGTTAGATGCATTCTCCACATGTTTATAACTCTTGTTCTGCGAAAACTGTATTGCTATAAAATGAAGTGGGTGTTTATACCCTATTTCTATTTTCCATCTACGGCTATGATTGATTTGAATTAGTTTTCAGAAAAGTTCACTGTATCGAAATTGTCGTAGGTATGACTCAATACTCTGATTATTCAGGAATAGTTTTGAACAGAAGCACAACAACAGGACTATTGTGAGGTGTGAAAAATGACTAAATAAACATTTATCAATCTACATTTTTGTTTCTTGTTTGTTCACGCTTGAGAGACGATTAAAACTTAAACTAAAACTCACCCTCGCTATTAACATGGTTCAAATTAGCCACTTCCACTGCCAAAAAAATTGCAGCATTTTCAGCCCCATTTAAAATCAATATTTGCATCAAACTGTTACAGTATTCTGAGTAGAGTGGATTGGTTTGAATATCGCTTTTCATCAGGCATGCTGCATACGAATCATCACCAGTGTCACCCGATTCATATTTGAGTAGAGCATAGTAGAGTGGTGTGTGCTCCTCTATAGTCTTCAGGTTAACGTTCAAGTAATCTTGTTTCAGAAGTAACTCGAAAATTGCTTTATTATCTGCTTGGATAGCAATATGTAATGGGGTACTGTGGAAACCAACAAAATGTTCAAATCAATTCAAGGATAATGTTTTTGATACAATAAATAGTTCGACTAGTGTGACTTATTTTTCATATGCAATAAGATAATAATGTTTTGAAGAATACTACAAGCTGGTGCAAATGCATTTTTTATCCTCAGCAGGGTAGGCACGGATTAATTCATATGAATTAAGTCAGTGATTTATTTCAAATATTTTTTCAAGTCATGAGTTAATTCAAACTTTTTCCAAAGAGAACAAATCGCATTATCACCTAAAATAGATTAAATTGGAATTTGTGTTGGTATTATGGCAAGACTCTCCCATTTTAAGCTTGACAGATATTGAGTGGTGATGTTAACATTTTTACTAACAAATATAGATCACACAGCACAAAATAGTTACAGTTTTGCAAACTTTGCATGTTTTATTATCTTTTTTGTATTTGGTAAATGAAATTTGATATTTTTAGGTGAAATTAACTCAACACAGTTTCAAATTCCACAAAGTAAGACTTTTTTATTAAAGTCCTGGAAAACGCAAACACTTCTGTGACACTGCATATGCTTCTGATGGTTTCAGACTGTTAATTTTCTGGACTAGGGTCTCCTAGGATTCAAACGTAAGATTAAATTCAATTTTCGAATAGAATGAATAATTATAGACACTCATCAACGAAATTGTCACTATGATTTGCAGTTTTGAGAATTTCAGAAGACAGCTAAAGATGGGTACCATGAGGAAATTTACACTATTATACCTAGTATTGAGCATCTGAGATGCAAGCAGATTTTTTTCCCTAAGAAAATACACATAACAATTCGAGAAAGTAGACGCGAAAACAAATGCTAACAAATATGTTAATTATTTTCGTAACACACATGTTTGAAAATGCTTGTGGAACGAGGGACACAATGTGACAACTCGATAGACTATCGCGACATAAAACACAAGACAATAAAATTACCAGGATGGTCATACTTACAACCCTTGTCGATTTTGTGCATTCACATTAACATTTTTGTTGATCAGCTTTTCCGCAACTTTATCACAGTCCTCCATGTTGCTTGCACCAGCAATGAGATGTAGAGCAGAATCATTTTCATGCCTGAAAGAAAAACCAATGTAGATTGAATGCAGCGGTTTTGCACACTTTGCACATGACGATTCGAAAAGAGCGACGAATATTATTGTCAATGGAGGACTTCGCTCGAAGTTGCCAACCTAAAAACCTCTACCACTGTAGAAGTAATATAGTGGAAGTTTGATTACTCAAATTGCTGTATTTTGGTGAAATCTGATTGTAGTAGTCTACTCAGCTTTCCAATGAAAGTTATTCAGAAGTGAAATTAGTTTTTGTGAACTTCACATCTGACTAGTTGAAAATAATGTTGGTGTATCAGCGTAACGTCAATACTTTAAATAGTGTCAGTAGTGTCATGAGTAAAAAATGTTACATCAATAGGCGTGTTCGATTGTGTTTCGCTCTACCTGCTGAACTTTTTTTTTAATTTGACTTTCTCTGTTTACATCATGCCATGAACAGAGACAACTATTGGAACAAAATCAGCTTTAGCAACACAAACGAACAGCTCTTACTGAGACACAGGTCAATTCATCCACCAATACGACCTATCTGCTCTGTCCTGGGTACGAACTCCACACACGTTTCAGATTCAAGGGAAGTCTCTGCCTCTACTCTAAAACGAATCTCTCATGTCAACGAGAAAAAACTTTGGAACCAAATAAGTTTGATGTCATGTGGTTCAAACTCGATAGCCAGAAACAGACCAAATACCTTTGTTGTCTCTACTTATCACCAAATGATCCATCCTATGAAGAGCTCTTCGAATTCTTGTCTCTGAAGCTTGACCAAATTCAACAGAACCATCCAGCAGCAGAAATCATCATCATGGGCGATTGCAATGTACACAACACTGCTTGGCTCGTACACTCTAACAGAACGGATGAAGCTGGGCGACAAGCCGAAGCTTTCGCTATCACTCACGGCTTAGAGCAGCTTATCAAAGAACCCACACGAATTCCCGATGCCAATAACCATTCAGCTAACATACTTGACTCATTCCTCACTAATAATTCAGCACCCTACACCATAGATGTACGAGCTCCACTTGGCAATTCTGACCACACACTCATCTCCACAACCTGCTCATTTTTCATTCCATCAACTGCTCCGGCACCCCCACGTCTTATATGGCATTACAATTCAGGAGATTGGGACGGTCTCCGCATGTTTTTCTCCGAGATTCCTTGGCATAGAGTATGCTTTGACTCTGAGGACCCTTCACAGTGTGCTGCGGAAATATCCGAGATCATCATGCTCGGAATGGACACATACATACCTCATTTTTCGAAAAGATCATCACCTTCGAAACCCTGGTTCAACAAAAACTGTTCTAGAACTGTTGCCTTGAAACAAACAGCCTACCATCGCTGGCGCAAAAACCCTAACCTCGCGACTAGAGCAGAATACGTTGATGCCAGGAATAACTGCAGCCAAACAATAGATGCTTCGAAAGAAACATACAATGCCAAGATAAGATCGAAACTCATGCCCCAATGGCTCCCGTTCGTTTTGGTCCCTTGCTAAAGCGGTCGGAAGAAATTTCACTAATAGTTCATTTCCACCACTGTCCAAATCCGACGGCACATTAGCAACAACATCGCAGGAGAAAGCGAATATTTTTGCAGAAATGTTCGCAGCAAACTCTACTTTAGATTCCCAAGGAAAACTGCCGCCAGACATTCCACCCGTTGAGAGTCGAATGCCCGAAATCGTCTTCCGTCAACGCACTATCAGACGAATTTTGCTTGATCTCAAAACGAATAAGGCTAACGGTCCTGATGGAATTCCACCCATTATCCTCAAAAAATGTGCACCAGAATTAACACCGATTCTCTGCAAGTTGTTTACCATCTCGTACAGGTCGGGTATTTTTCCATCATGCTGGAAGACAGCTAGAGTCCAACCAATTCCCAAAAAAGGGAACAAGAACCTGCCCAACAACTACAGGCCCATTGCCCTGTTATCAGTAATCTCCAAAGTGATGGAGAAAGCCATCAATATTGAGCTTATCAAATATCTGGAGAGCTCAGGAATCATCAATGATAGACAATACGGCTTTCGCCATCGAAGATCTACTGGACATCTACTTGCCTACGTCACCCATTTATGGCAATCTTCAATAGAAAAACACGGGGAATCTCTAGCTGTCGCGTTGGACATATCGAAAGCATTCGACCGTGTTTGGCAAGTACTCCTCCACAAACTACAATCATACGGCTTACCACCTCAGCTATGCCATCTCTTATCGAGTTTTCTTTCAGGCAGATCGCTTCACGTGGTGGTGGACGGTGTATCGTCTGATACCATTGGCATCAATTCCGGCGTTCCACAAGGATCAATTTTGGCACCAACATTATTACTGCTTCATATCAATGATCTGTTAGGAGTAACAACTTGCCCCATCCACAGCTTTGCAGATGATAGTACCCTCCATACTGCGTTCTCTTCCAGAATTCCCATTTCTTCCCAGGAAACTAAGAACTCACGGCGCAGGCAGGTCAATGCTGTCAATGAAGATCTTGCTGAAATCACAGCCTGGGGAACGAACAACCTAGTTGAATTCAACGCCACCAAAACTCAAGCCTGCATTTTCTCTAGAAAGGCGGAACTCAGTATGCCCGATATTGTAATGTCTGGCTCCACCATCCCCACCAAGCCCACCATATCTATACTCAGTTTTTCCATCAGCAACACTCTTTCATGGGATAATCATGTCAGATCCATCGCAAAAGCTGCTTCACAAAAACTCGGATTCTTGTTCCGTGCGAAAAGCTACTTTACACCTCAACAGCTTCTCATGATCTACAAAGCGCAGATACGGCCTGTTCTAGAATACTATTCCCACATATGGGGTTCAGCACCAAAACATACGCTGATGCTCTTAGATTCCATCCAGAGAAGAGCCATTCGCCTGGTGGGTGACGCCACACTCACTCACTCTTTGACATCATTGGAACACCGTAGAAAGGTCGGCGACCTTTCACTTTTCTATCGATACTTCCACGGGAAATGTTCTTCGGAAATCTCTGCAATCATCCCTTCACTAGCAATACCAATCAGACGAACTAGACAAGCCCAGTCAGCACATCCTTTCGTCGTCAACCTCGAAAGATGTCGAACAGCACTTTATCAAGACTCCTTTATCCATAGAACGGCTAGGCTCTGGAATTCATTGCCTGTGGAAGTATTCCAACAACATATAATCTCCAAAAATTCAAAAAAAATTCCAATACCTACCTCCTGTCCCTATCCTCCCTAGGAACGCACGATGTTCTTTGAACATTATAGGGATTCCCTTTCGTGCGCTCCAATCGATAAAAAAAAAAAAAAAACAGACCTATAACATTACTAAATCAGTAAGTTCCAATCAAGTTCGAACTTCGAATAATGATCAAGAAACTTTGTTTATTTATTTCAAGAAGATTACAAACAGGTTCCTAAAATCCTAATTACATGAATCTTGGAATTAAAAGTTAAGAAGAACACAAGTTGCATTCTAAAACTACTACTAACGTGCAATATGAGCACCAATTTATATTTGAAGTTTGTGAAGAATCATTATCAAATTATGTATTTTCATCGTTAATTCATAGTTAATTTATATTGTTCTACTCAAAGTTGTCTCTAACAAGATTTCAACATACGGTATTATCGCATTTCTGAAAGATATATCTGGATGTCAGAAAATTATTAAATTTGTCAACTTGGAATACAAAAGGAATATTCTCAGATAAATTATGAACATACAAAAATGGATATATATTTATATAAAGCAATACATTGAGAATTCTCAAAACTATGACCAGTTCTTATCCCTATTAATTGTTATTTTTTAACAGGAAAATGCTCATTATTATTACATGTTATATGTTAGTGTTTTGATTTATATCGACTGTGATTTCTTCGTTTCCACACAGTGGTTTCTTCCACTTAAATACACTTATCGATAGATTAATCAAATGAAATATATTCCTACTTCCTACTGCAACGATCAAACTTGTTTACCAAAGAATGATAAATAATTGTGTTGTCCATAAATGGAATAATCTTGGATAATATGTAAAAAATGTGACAAGTAATAAAATTGACGACGATATGATATATTTCAGAATGAAAGCAGGTGCATCAACATAATTTTCAACTAATAGAATAGAATAGAACTTTATTTACGGTTATCCATTGCATACATTATAACCACAAATATTATTACAAGATGGGAAAAATATATACCTATGTAAATATTCAACAAACACAAATAAACATAAATAACAAGAGAATATCCTAATCAGTATGAATCTATCACAGTTATCACTCACAGTTGCTATATATCCTAGATCATTATGAATCTATATCACAGTAATCAAACACAGCTGCTCATAAAGGGGTACTATTAATGGTAATCAATGACTTCTTGAATAACTGAAACGAATTACTGAAAATGTCCAAATGTATACAATTATTATTGTATTCCCTTGGTATCCTTGAGAGAGGGCTATGCATGCCATAATTTGTGGAATGATGGTTAATGTAAAATAGTGCTTTGCTTCTAGTCCTACTGTTTGTACTTAGCTGAATTTCGGATACAAGTTCGGGACAGTCAATGATACCATTCAACAATTTATATAAAAAGAGCAAGTCTGTGTTGAACCTACGTTTTTCTAAAGTTTCCAAACCTGTGCTATTTTGAATGTTGTCATAATCATGATTCCAATTCATTCCCAGTCTGAATGCATAATGCCTGAGGAATTTTCTCTGTATTCCTTCAATTGTCCCGATATCAACACTGTAGTTAGGACACCATATCACAGAAGCATATTCTAAGCCTGACCTAACAAGTGCACAGTATAATAATTTTAAACTATTAACTGACATATCCTTTGTGTTTCTCATAACAAATCCAAGATTTCTATAGCCAATAGTAGCTACTTTCAAAATATGTTGTTTAAATGTCATTTTATTATCAATCAAAATGCCTAAGTCTTTGATTTCAGCGACGCGAAGCAACGATTCATCTTTTATTT